CCTGAACCCAAGGTCTGTCCCCCTGAAATCTTCACTGGCGACAGGAAGAGGTATCGAGAATGTATCAGTTCATGCCAAATTATGTTTGAGCTGAAGCCTAGGACCTACTCCACAGATGGACTCAAAGTGAGGTCTCTTATTTCATATCTCCGGGGTGAACCCAGAGCATGGGCAGACACCTTCCTTGTGGATGATGATCCCATTCTTGATTCCCTACCAGATTTCCTGCATGCCATGTCCCTTTTATATGAGGACACCAGCAAACAGATTACTGCGGAAACAGCTATACGTGGTCTGAAACAAGGACCCGTTGAGGACTACATCGCCCAGTTCAAGCGTTGGGGTGCCGAAACTGAGTGGAATGATATCAGCTTAAGGAACCAGTTCCGGTTGGGCCTCTCTGAAACCCTCAAGGATGAGCTGGCGCGGGCTGACCTACCCCCCACCTTGGACGCACTTATCCACAGATCTATCACCATAGATCGTCGTCTTCGTGAGAGGAGGGTTGAGAAAACATCCTCTTGCCCCCAGCCGTCACGCCGCATCCCCTCATCACCGGTGGCCGAGCCAATGGAAATAGGAGCCGTGCGAGGCCCACTCTCCCAGAGCGAGAGGCTCAGGAGGCGCCAGAACCAGTTGTGCATGTGTTGTGCAGCTCAGGAACATACAGTGGGTGCATGCCCTCTGATTTGGAAGAAGACTGAAGGTAAGAAGACATCCTTATGTGAAGTGCTTCCTTCTACAAAACCCGCGAGTAATTACTTTTATCTCTTTAACCCTACAGTGGGAGCAAAATCAAATCCGCACTGAGGCGATGATCGACTCAGGGGCCTGTGGCAACTTTATTGATGATAACCTTGTCAGGCACAATAAAATTCCTACCCTAGCAAAAAACGTTCCTCTTGTGGTAAGTTTTATTGACGGTACCACACCGTCCACAGGTCCGATCCGTAGAGAGACTCAACCCCTGCAGGTTACCACACCCCAAAACCACACCGAGTATCTGGCTTTTGATGTGATCCCATCACCAATTTTTCCCGTTATTTTGGGGTTGTCTTGGTTGAGATTGCATCAACCCGCTCTCCTATGGACGGAAGATACACTTCGGCTTACCTCCCCCTATTGCAGGGCGACTAGTTATCCCCAGGCTGCGTTGTTATCCATCACGCCTTGGGCTATCCCCAAGCAATATGCGGCGTTCGCCGACGTTTTTAGCAAAAAGGGGGCCGATAGCTTGCACCCCCATAGATCTTATGACTGCCCTATTAACCTACTCCCAGGGAGTGAGATTCCCGTGGGCCATGTCTATCCCCTCTCAGAACCAGAACTAAAACACCTTAAATCCTACTTAGAGGAATACATAAAGAAAGGCTTCATTAGTCCTTCCACTTCCCCCGCCGGGGCGGGCATGTTCTTTGTGAGGAATAAGGACCAATCCCTTCGTCCCATCATAGATTACCGAGCATTGAACAAAATCACGGTTAAGAACCGCTACCCCTTACCGTTGATTCCGGAGCATATGGAAAGATTGCAAACCGCAAAGGTGTACACAAAGCTGGATTTGAAAGGGGCATACAACCTTATAAGAATGCGTTCGGGGGACGAGTGGAAAACGGCATTCCATACTAGATACGGACTGTTAGAATACAATGTCATGCCGTTCGGGTTGTGCAACGCCCCACCACCTTTCAAGCTTTCGTAAATGACATCTTCAGGGACCTCCTCGATTTCTGCGTAGTTGTCTACCTGGACGACTTACTGATTTACTCCGACAACCTCCGGGAGCACAGGAAGCATGTTAGGTGGGTGCTGGCTCACCTTAGAGCCCACAACCTATATGCCAAGCTGGAGAAATTCACTTTCGAGACTCATACTATTCCCTTCTTGGGGTTCATTGTCTCCCCTCAGGGGATTGAAATGGATAACTCCAAGGTTGAATGTATCACCAACTGGCCTGTTCCCAGATCCAGGAGAGCTCTGCAGAGATTTCTGGGGTTCGCAAATTTTTATCGTAAGTTCATAAAAAAATTTTCATTGGTGTTTAAACCCTTGTCCCGACTTACTTCTGTTAATGCGAAATACTCGTGGACCGAAGACGCCCAAGTTGCTTTTGATGACCTCAAAACCCGGTTCACCACGGCACCCATTTTGCGTCTCCCCGTTCCCGAATTACCATATGTATTGCAGGTTGACGCATCAGATGTGGCCTTGGGTGCCGTCCTCTCCCAACGGGAGACCCTAGGCTCCCCCTTGCATCCTGTAGCCTTCTTCTCCCGTTCACTAAAACCATCTGAATGTAATTATGCTGTAGGAGAGAAAGAACTGCTGGCCATCAGAGCCGCTTTGGAACACTGGAGACATCTCCTAGAGGGCACCCAGCAACCCTTCACCATATATACTGACCATAAAAATCTTCAATACTTACAGACTAATCGAACCTTATCTTCCAGACAGGTCAGATGGAGTCTGTTCCTAAATCGGTTCGATTTCACCATAACCTATAGACCGGGAGAGAAAAACGGCAAGGCCGATGCCCTGTCCAGAAGAGATGACTTTCATTCCAGGCTCACTCAGACGGGGACTGTCATCCACCCCGATCGAGTTATTGCCACTACGATTACTCTCAAGAACCAAATTAAAGAGGCCATACGCGTGTCAAGGAACACTCTGCCCCCAGGCCTTCACGAAGACCATGAGGGCCTGCACTACATGGACTCAAGATTGTTCATCCCTTCCGCCTTGAGGGTCCAGATCCTCAAAATGATGCATGACACCCCGATCATGGGCCACCCGGGGATGAACAAGTCCCTTGATCTCATCAAGCGCTACTTCTGGTGGCCCCAAATGAATAAGGACATCAGGGAGTATGTGGCAACCTGCAAACCTTCTACCTCAAAGCCCTACGGCCTTCTCATCAGTCTACCCATACCCACGAATCCATGGCAGACCCTATCCATGGACTTCATCGTTGATTTGCCCAAGTCAAATAACCATGAGACCATCTTTGTGGTGGTGGATCTGTTCACTAAAATGTCTCACTTCATACCCCTTTGCTGGCCATCAGAGCCGCTTTGGAACACTGGAGACATCTCCTAGAGGGCACCCAGCAACCCTTCACCATATATACTGACCATAAAAATCTTCAATACTTACAGACTAATCGAACCTTATCTTCCAGACAGGTCAGATGGAGTCTGTTCCTAAATCGGTTCGATTTCACCATAACCTATAGACCGGGAGAGAAAAACGGCAAGGCCGATGCCCTGTCCAGAAGAGATGACTTTCATTCCAGGCTCACTCAGACGGGGACTGTCATCCACCCCGATCGAGTTATTGCCACTACGATTACTCTCAAGAACCAAATTAAAGAGGCCATACGCGTGTCAAGGAACACTCTGCCCCCAGGCCTTCACGAAGACCATGAGGGCCTGCACTACATGGACTCAAGATTGTTCATCCCTTCCGCCTTGAGGGTCCAGATCCTCAAAATGATGCATGACACCCCGATCATGGGCCACCCGGGGATGAACAAGTCCCTTGATCTCATCAAGCGCTACTTCTGGTGGCCCCAAATGAATAAGGACATCAGGGAGTATGTGGCAACCTGTGAGACCTGCGCAACCTGCAAACCTTCTACCTCGAAGCCCTACGGCCTTCTCATCAGTCTACCCATACCCACGAATCCATGGCAGACCCTATCCATGGACTTCATCGTTTATTTGCCCAAGTCAAATAACCATGACACCATCTTTGTGGTGGTGGATCTGTTCACTAAAATGTCTCACTTCATACCCCTAAAGGGGTTGCCTACCGCCCAGGAGACAGCCGATGCATTTGTCACCAACGTCGTCCGGTTGCACGGGGTTCCCTCTGTAGTCATCTCGGATCGCGGGGCACAGTTCACCTCTAAGTTCTGGAATGCTCTTTGTGCCAGCCTACACATCGACCAGTCCCTGTCCACTTCACACCACCCTCAGACAAATGGACAAACGGAAAGGGTGAACCAGCAACTAGAGCAGTACCTGCGTTGCCACTGTTCCTATTTAAAGGACGACTGGATGGGGTTACTCCCCCTTGCTGAATTTGCCTATAACAACTCTGTCAGTTCCTCCACACAGACCTCCCCTTTCTACGCCAACTACTAGTTCCATCCTAAACCTTTCCCTAATGCGTTCCTACCTTCTGAGACCCCGGCAGCAAACCAGTACCTTCAGCAGATTCAACAGAATAACGATTTTCTGAGAACCAACTTACTCCGAGCCCAAGAACGGCACAAACGGTTCTACGACCTGTGTAGACGTGACCCTCCGTCTTACCGAGTAGGAGATCTTGTATGGTTATCAACCAAGCACCTCACCATCAACACCCCTTCCAGAAAACTGAGTCACTTGTTCATAGGGCCCTTCCCAATAGAGAAAACCGTGAACCCAGTGGCAGTCCGTCTCACGTTACCTTCCTCCCTTCTAATCCATCCGACATTTCATGTCTCACTAGTAAAACCTCACAGGGGCAACTCCTTCAGTAACCGGGTACCAACTCCACCCCCGGCCGTAAACGTCCAGGGAGAGCAGGAGTTCGAGGTGGAACAGATCCTTGACTCACGCATCCACAGGGGCAGGCTCAGGTACCTAATTAGATGGAAGGGCTGTGGGCCTCAAGAGGATTCGTGGGAGCTGTCATGTAATGTGCACGCCCCTAGACTGCTTAGGCGCTTTCATGCCAGACACCCCGGGAAGCCCGCTCCGCGGCGGAACTCCGGTGGGGTTCCCTTGAGAAGGGGGTACTGTCAGAGACTCACCCGGCGCGTCCGTCCTCTCCAGCGGCGCGCCGTCTTGGCCGTGACGTCACGCCGGGGCTCCTCCCCTAGACCACGGCTTCCCTTCTTAGCCACGGAAACACTCACTCGGCCATCTCGGCCGTGACGTCACGCCGGGGCTCCGCCCCTAGACCGCGGCTTCCCTTCTTAGCCACGGCGGAAACACTCACTCGGCGTTCTGTCAATGAGGAACTCCCCGAACTCCTCTGAACCAGGCTTCCTGCCGGAGCTTCCGCCAGCAGCTACCCACCCGCAGGGACGCAAGCTTCACCCCCATTTCATCTCGCTGATACTGCAGACCTATAAGGACTCCATAGCAGCAATAGCATTCTCCTCAACCGCAAGTACTGGGGCACTCCCCCTATCTTCTGGTGCTAGAACTGCATCGCCTGATCATACTGTGGTGTATATCACAAGGGGCTGTTAACCACTTGCTGCATACTACTTAAACTGTTAGTAATCAATATTCTGGTGCTAGGACTGCAGAACCTGATCATACTGAAGTGTTTTCCATACATGCCTGCATAGGATACCTGTGATAATCTGCATATACCTATCTCTGTTTCTACTGTGGGAATATTGGAGCTACTCTAACCACCTCGATAACCTCTATGCCGAATTCCTTACCAGGTGCTCATTAGTGCGGGGTGTACCATTAGAAACTACAGTCCCATCACTCCCCATTGCTGCACATAGCAGACTACTAGATTGCTAGCCCTTAGGTTACCCATACTCTTCTCTTTATAGGCCAGGATACATGATGTGGAACGGTTCCCTATCACACTGAGTGTATTAGGGAACTGTCTATCTGACCCAATCCCATAGGCCGTACTACAAGAGTTCCGCAGCTGCGATCCTCAACCCTACTCCGCTTGCAGAACGTGACACATGTATTGCTGATTCTGCAGAACGAGCTCTACCACCCAGCATCTGGCATCCTTAAAGTTGTAATAAAGGCTGGGTGTTTTTTGCCTTAGTGCATTCTTTGCATTAAGGAAAAAAACACCCAGCACATTTCTAGCATCCCCCCCACACTTACCTGCATCTGCTCGTCTCCTCCAATGGGACCAGGAAGTTACTTAAGCTCCTTCTGTCATCATTCAAGCTGTGACTGCAAGGGTGGGGGTGTGAGGTGTGGCCGGCCGCACGCTGCGTATGTCTATGGACGCACACAGCACGTATGGGTGCCTTTACAGCAGTTGACTAGCTGATGGAGGCACCTGTACAGGGGGAGTGTTACTAGCGGTCTGGATACCACTAGAGAACTAAGAAATAATAAAATGAATTAATTAAAGAACGTTTTTATTTATTTTTTAGCAAGTCTGGCCCCAAAAGAAGAAAAAAAAAACAAACCTGAAGGTTTAATGTCACTATAACATTTATTTCAATCAGAGAATAGAACTTTTTCTGCAAACTTTGAAAGCACCTTTTCAAACCCTTTGAGAAAGCAATATTACACCACTTAGAAATGATCAATCTTCCCTGCATGCACACAATTTGTTGTGTAGAATTAAAACAGGCTGCTGCTGTTCTATGTGGCTCGCTGGTTAATTGTTTCTGGGAGGGGGGGGGGTTTGGCAGAGATCCACCTTTTTCTGTTTCAGAAATGTTGGAGTATATGAGCCATAAATAAATATGTGTTTCTGCAGTATCAAGTTATTATGACGAAGTACAAAGTGAAAAGTGTTCAGTGATTTGAATAGAAAATGCGTTAAAAGGTGAGAATTCGATTCATCTTCAGTAGGAAAGAAAACCTCAGTATAAGGCAACTTCATTATGTAGAGCATCACCAGAGAGACTTGGCAGTACAGAAATCTAGGTCAGACTGTTTGCCTGCAGTGCCATTATAAAAAAAATCATATACTTCATGCAGTAAGTGTAGCGTATTTAATTATTTATCTATCATTTATCTACAGCAAGCAAAACAAAGATGATTAAAAGTCTTAGCCTATGTGAGTGTTTGCATATGACACAATTTACCTTTTGTACATGCTATGTTTCTTTTAATAGATAATGTGTTATTTGTATTTGGGGTAGAACCTATTTAAAGCACTAGCTTCGAACCATCGTTAGTGAAAGAAAAACAATTTTTGTAAGTTCAAAGAATGTATATAATATATATTTCTGTATGCTAATAAACTCCAATGAATAATACAATGATGTGTTTCTATTAAAAGGAGGACTATGTTCCTGCATATGACTCCATCTTCAAGAGGTCAGAATGTTATAATGAAAAACTTCACCGGGATGACAGGGCACATGCAAAACACAAGGGTCTGGATCTTCATAATGAGGTAAAGTTATAGCTTTAAAGAAAAGACATTTCAAGTGAACATGTACATACTGTATAATGTGTATAATTACTTTCCTAAACTTTCTAGAGCAGACTCATCAATATTACTTATGTTCTTTTAATAAAAGTACCTGTTAATACTGATAGCTAAGGGCATTGAAAATAGGATGGCTACCCTCTTGCAGCCTTTCTAAATGCCATCACCCCAAGCCACCATCCATTTGTGGGTCACCTATATTGCAACAAATCCATTGGTCACCTATACTGCAACAATTGTAGTTTTATTGCTAAGGCATTATTGGGAGAGTTGGGAAGGGAACAATGTACATGAAAGCAGGACAGTAACCTATCTGTACAGCAACCTCTATAGCTTTAACACTGGTAGCATTTTTGTAGAAAAGCCAAAGTGGAAAGTCAGGTCAGGATTTTGTGTCTGGTTATTCTATCTGTAAGTGCAGGTCACCTGGGAAGTTCTTGTGTCTCCTCCCTCCTGTAGCCAGTTCAACGTATTCTTTGTCAGAGGTGCAGTGGATCTTTCTCATTCTTTAAGTTGCAGCGTCACCGGACAAGATCCCAGCAGAAAAAAGATTCTCCAGCATAATCTCATTTAGCATGGACTTCCTCTCTTTTACAACTTCATCTGGGGCAGAATCCAGAGGAGGGGTGAAAGAACATCCTGGAATGGTGCTCCAAACATTTATCAACTTCCCCAATTTCACATCACTGGGCTAACTCCTCATTTATTGGCAGGGGTGGATATATATTCAGAACTTTGTTAACTCTTCTCACTTAGACTACCAGAGCCTAAGTTACATTAGTTGACAGATGCAATTAATAACCTGAGCTTAGGAACCTTTGCAAAACACATACAGTTTAAATTAGGCTGGCTATAGTCTAGCTTTATCAAGTAGACAGAAAACTAAGCTATGCACACTACTGCTTAAGCCAGGGTCCCTAAATTTGCAAGAATGTTTAAATTTTTTTTTAAATGTCCCTTGCATGTAAATGGTATTCAAAGTGAACACAGTTTCACCTTATTTACTATGCTCAGGGGATGTTCACTTTAAACTCTTGTAAGGTTTTTATTGCTGTATGTTGAGATTTACTCCCTCCATTTGTTCTTGACCGCTGATTAGAGTATGTGTCAGGGATATTATGAGCAAGCCCACCAATGTCTCTAGAAATTGCTGGAGAATTACATGAATACTTATGACTCAGGTCACTCATTATTGATGAGCATCTGCCTTCAACAACAGATTTGCTGTACATGCTAACTCATACAGATCAATTCACTCCTCCCCAACCTTTTAATATTTTAAAAATAAAAGGTAACTTTGAGGCTAGGCTTCCCTGGACTATTACATTTCTTTGCGGTTGAGAAATGTAATCATCTATTTAGCACATGAAGTAGAATAGCAAAGGACCGGACTGGGCAGAATCTTCATTTAGCAAGTTTAATAATAACAACTGCAGCTGGGAACAAGCAACAAGCAGTCCAAAGAACAGAGGCTCACAGGTTACTTTTTATTAAAAAAAAAAGTTAAATCAAATTAGATCTATATGGGCAACAATGTGTTTGGCTGGCACGGCCTATGTCACTGCAACTAACCATAAATCTGACATTCCTTCATGGTGGCCTGAGTCCCACCTCCATACCCGAGGGGGGAATGAATCTTAGAGTCCTAAGCTATAGCTTGACACTCTGGTCATGAAGGACCTAAACCGCACTACCCTCTCACCTGTCGGGTCACAGCTGACTGCCTATTCTTTGCTCCTGCTCCTTTTTGAGAAAGTCATTGAACGAAACATGTCAAAGGAAAACCTGCCTTCATCTCTCTTAGTTGAGTGCTGCTAACGCTCAAAAGCTCGATTTTTTTCGTTGTTTCCGTAAGTGCATTTGAGTTCTTTTATGAAATAAATATTTGTGTTACTGCACTTAGATAGCCTCCTCTTTGTCTCCTTCAAATTTTTCCCTGGGGGACACCATTCCGGGCGGCGAGGGATCAGGTGACCGAAGGAGAAGGAGAGACCCACGCCGGTAATTGACAAGGAGACATTAGAAGGGGTTGGAAAACCAGAACTTTAAAAGACCTCTTTAACAAGGAGCCCCTCTTGGGGAATTGTCAGTGAATGTTTGGAGGACTGCCGGACAGATTGATCAAGTGTCACTGAGAGAAGGAAGTTGCCCTTTCTTAAAGTGCTGTTCGTTGGTTATGCATGTAATGATACATGCCCCTTGAAATGTCAGTTTCTTTGCTGTTATTATTTTAGAGTTTTGATTTATTTGCACGTTTTTTTTTTTTTTTTGAGTATTGGAGGGCCACCACAGAGCCCCTCCTTCCTTTTCAAAGTTTGTTCACAGCTTGAATTAATATCACGATTTAAATTTTAGTTTTCTGTGTTGTTTTACTACACCGCTAGCCAGAGGTTCACGTGTTTAAAATATACATGCCGAACCAATGAGGTTGATCACTGGCACTAATTCTGAAGGTTCCAGTGTTGATTTTTATTATTCTTATTATGTTTGTGTGTTGAACCTTCTAGTCATATGTAAATAATCCACTTGCATCAATTTTTTCACACGGATTGTTGTAATTTTACACAGATTTGTTTATTAACACTTTAGTGTGCAGTTGGTTCACATAGACCGAGCGCAACATATTTGCTTTACATTTGTTCACCTATACACATTGTTGCGGCTGGTCCAATCAGGTAGTTAGGCACGCATTCCCTGCGCAGTGATTTCTGTGATATACTGCCTATTCAACTTGTATCTATGGTTACCCTTCTTGTGCCTCATACCTCCCTGCTTCCCACCCCCCTGTCTCAGTCCTGTATCTTTCTCTTTCTTTTTCTTGCTTCCCCTCCTTGCTGGGCTGGCCAAACTACATCCCTGATATAGCATATTATTTACATCCAAAGCCCTCTCATCTGGGTCAGAGTTTGCATGATCGCTAGACAGCTCAGTAGTTGTGCCCCCACCAAAGGGTGGAGGGGTCTATGACCGTTGCACACTGCTTATGAGACATATGACTTCAGTGGAATTGATGGATCTTACATGTACAATGTGTGTTTACGCTATACCCAATGTATTGTATTCTTTGGTACAACTCCTTCTTCTGTACTTATCTATTGTTTTGAATATCTGAAAACTGAAAAATAAAGAATTAAAAAAAAAAGAAAATCTGACATTCCTGGAGACGGTATTTCTCAGAAATTGATTTAGACCCCTCTATATGAATTCTATCTCAGCCCAAGCACATAGACTGATACGTGCTCACACATGCTGAGTGTGTCTTATATACTCTTAGGGTTCATTTACCATTCATCTGTTGAATGGATATGCCTGTATAGTGCTCTAAAACTTCTAGGACTTTAATTATTAAATCTACGGTTAGTCTTACCGGTAACGGTATTTATAAGAATCTTCCAGGACAGCAACCTGAGAGATGATTGGATCTTCAGTCTACAGGAAACACAATCAGACAAGGTTAAAAACCCCTCCCACCCCCCTCGTCCCTCAGTTGAGATTAAAGTAGAATACCTCCACCAGTGCACGAGGGGAACCACTAGACAATTTAAAATCCAGTAAGGGTGGGAAGTAGGCTTGCTGTCCTGGAAGATTCTTAGAAATACCGTTACCGGTAAGACTAACCTTAGATTTCTCCAATTATCTTCCAGGACAGCAACCTGAGAGACAAGCAAGATATACACAAGCTTACCTTAGGGTCGGACCACTGCCTGCAAAACTTTTCTGCCAAAGGCCAAATCCTGTTGGGACAGGACTTCCACCCTGTAGTGTTTAACAAAGGTGTCCTGGTTGGACCAAACAGCAGCCTTGCAGATTTGATCCACAGATGCTCCGGCCTTTTCCACCCAGGAAGTTGCTAGAGATCTGGTTGAATGGGCTTTTAACGGAGTTGGGATAGTCCTATCCTCCTTCTTGTACACCGTAGAGATGGCTTGCCTAATCCATCTAGCAATGGTGGCTTTTGAAGCCATGCTACCCTTCTTGCAACCCCCAAAAAGAACGAACAACTGGCTGGACTTCCTAAAATCCTTAGTAACCTCAATGTATCGCAGCAGGCATCGCCTGACATCCAGACAATGGAATCTTTTCTCTCCAGGGGTCTTTGGATTTTCACAAAAAGAAGGCAAAATAATGTCCTGGGACCTATGAAACGTAGTGGCCACCTTAGGCAGATATAATGGGTCCGGTCTAAGGACAACCCGATCCTGAAAAACGGTAATATAAGAGAGATCGCCCACTCTTCGAGCTGAAGTCACAGCTAACAAAAAAGCCAGCTTCAAAGATAACCATTTAATAGTCAAGCTTTCAATGGGTTCAAAGGGATCCTTAGTAAGACCAGTCAGCACCAAGGACAAGTCCCATGGAGGAAAAAATTGCTTTGACAAAGGCATAATGCGTTCTGTTGCCAGAAAAAAACGTTTAATCAACGTATCCTCTGCTAATCTAATGTCCAAAAAGACAGAAAGAGCGGAAATTTGCACCCTCAAAGTACTCAGTGCCAACTTCTTATCCACACCCTCCTGAAGGAAGTCCAGACTGACTGGGACTGACGGGCTAGAGATCTGCTTTTGTGCGCACCATGAGGAAAACACTTTCCACACCTTGCTGTAAATCCTCCTTGTCACTAGCTTCCGACTGGATAGCAGTGTATCCACCACTTTTTGAGAACAGCCCTTATGTTCTAGGATCCTCCTTTCAACATCCATGCCGTCAAGTGAAAGAATTTTGGATCGTGATGCAAAACCGGCCACTGGAGCAGAAGGTCCGGCCTGAGGGGCAAGATCCATGGAGGCTGAACTGTTCTTCTCCGAAGTTCCGGAAACCATGTTCCTTTTGGGCCACCATGGAGCGATCAGAATGATTACGCAATCCGAGCAACTTAATTTCTGAATCACTCGAGGGAGAAGAAAAAGAGGAGGAAACGCATAGCCTAGGGAGAACTCCCAGTCCTGTGACAGAGCATCTACCCCGCTTGAATCCCTCTCCCTTGAAAAAGAAAAGAAGAGAGGCACTTTCCTGTTTTTTCTTGTTGCAAACAGGTCGACCGAGGGCATTCCCCACCGTTTGGCTATTTGGGAGAAAACCTTGGGATGAAGCTCCCATTCTCCCTGAAGAATGAGTGCTCGACTCAAATAATCTGCTACCACATTGGATGTCCCTTTTATGTGGACTGCGGAAATGGATTGGTTTAAAATGGAATGACCTGGATCTAGGCACAGGATGCCACACCCCTGGAAAGTAGTATAGCAAAAAACAGAAAGCTGGGGTTTTTTGGGCAACCGACTGACAACTTTCAGACCAAACGTTGTTTAGAAAAATATTATTTTATTTAATATGGTTAAAAAAAGTGAGGATAATTTCATAAAATTGACAACATGATTCCCCTATGAGCTCACTCGACAATGATTAAGTTCTTCATACATGAGATTGCACTCAGAAAATTATAAAATGAGACCTGATTGGTTAACATGGTAAACAGAGAATTCATAGACAAAATACATGATTGGTATAACAGAATAGTGTTGGAGGAGCTTGATTCCCGTTCTGGACCAGGTGACGACGTCATGACGTCACCAGGGGAGTTGCCGTTATTAGCACCCACGCGAGCCCCCAGCGTCAGTGTGCAGCCTGAGAGGGCTGTGTTAGCTGCTGGGGGCTCGATATTGAGAGAGGAACGGACATCCCACGGCGTTGACCGGGGAATACAATACTCTTGAATCTACTTCCAACCATCTACTAGTACTGGTATGTACCCGTTTAAACCACTATGTCTAGTAAGGACGATATGGTACTGTGGGTTGCTCCCACTTACACCTAGTTTCTGTCATTTCTTTTTGAGGTCCTAATGGTATCCTCTATTTTTTGTTTCGTTTTTTAAAAGGTTATCTCCGTCATCTCTTGATTCGGTCTGCCTCTGCTGGGGTTCAGGGCCTCCACCCTTCCTTCCTCCCTCTCCCTTGCCCCCCTTTCTATGCTCCATTACTCACCATCTTACTGTTTGAGCCGGGTTGAACCATTGGGACGCACATAGACTTCAAGGGACACACTCACCTGTTTATTATACCACTAGATGAATCTAAGTGACTGTGCTGGAAGTTGAATTATGTTTATATTATCCATATATTTTTCTTAAATTGTATAGACAACCTCCCTCTCCTCCTGAAGAAGCGCTATTCAGCGCGAAGCGTCACGTTGAGAAAATCAAGCTCCTCCAACGCTATTCTGTTATACCAATCATGTATTTTGTCTATGAATTCTCTGTTTACCATGTTAACCAATCAGGTCTCATTTTATAATTTTCTGAGTGCAATCTCATGTATGAAGACCTTAATCATTGTGGAGTGAGCTCATAGGGGAATCATGTTGTCAATTTTATGAAATTATCCTCACTTTTTTTAACCATATTAAATAAAATAATATTCCGCAAAAGTTCCCCCTCTGAAGGGGCGAACAGGAGGATGTCGTCTAAATACGGAATCAGGGAAATCTTTTGCACGTGGAGGTAGGAGACTACCTCTGACAGAATCATCGTAAAGACTCTTGGAGCCGCAGAGAGCCCGAAGGGCAGGGCCCTGAACTGAAAATGGAGAAACCCCCTGTCTGTCTGAATGGCAAATCTCAGGAATTTTTGATGTCCTGACCAAATTGGAACATGGAGATACGCATCCTTTAAGTCCAAAGTCACCATGAACAAAATCTTCCGGACCGAATATATGTTCTCCATCCTGAACCTTCTGAACAGGAGATACTTGTTCAATTTCTATAAGTTCAGTATTAATCTGAATTTGCCCCCTGGCTTGGGTACAAGAAAAATATGGGAATAGAACCCCTGAAATATTTGATCCTCTGGAACCGGGACAACAACGTCCTGGGAAACCAGATTTTGGACACATGCCCATAATGCAACTGCCTTTAAGCGATCTCTTGGCCACGGCGTAAGAAAAAAAGTTTGTGGAGGGAGAGCCTGAAACTCCAACCGAACACCTTCTCTTATTAAATCTAGTATGTACTGATTTTGTGTGATTTCTACCCACTGGGGAAGAAAAAGAGAAAGTCTCCCTCCCACTTTCAATGTGGCGTCATTTTGACTCCTTGTTGGAGGAGTCAGGAGGAGTATAGAGCAAACCTCCTTTTTGCTTATTTTTGCTAAAGGGCCATCTTTTCCTTTGCTCCTGAGGTCTCCCCCCCTTGTTTTTTTTGGTCCTGGGGGCCTCGAAAAAACCTATGATTGCGAAAGGGCTTTTTCTTCTCAGGGAATTTCTTCCCCTTTTCTGAGGATCTAGTCAACACGTCTTCAAGGCCTGGACCGAAGAGCAACTTCCCCTCAAAGGGCAACCCACACAACTTGGATTTAGAGGAAACATCCCCCTCCCAAGACTTCAGCCAGATAGCTAGCTAAATGCTTCCTCTCAGTATCCTTCCATTCACCTAAAACTAAATCCTTTAGTGTTTGATGGAAAGGAAAAACTCTACCTTCCGAATCCTGCAACCCCCTGTAAAGCCTATCTTGCACAGAACAAGCTTTAGGAGGGTCAGGAATCTGCTCAGTAGTATAAATAGCCTGTAACAGATCTTCTATGTCATCTAGAGCAAAAAGGTGACGTGGCCGTTGAATCCCCACATTCCCTTCTACAGTCTCTCCCTCTTCCAGGGAACTGTCAGTATCTAAACCAGAATGCTCCTCTTTCTCTTCTACCCGAGTAAAAGCAGAATTAGAAAGGGAACAAGGCAGAGCAGAACTTGTTCCCTTGGGTGGGAGGGGTTTTTAACCTTGTCTGATTGTGTTTCCTGTAGACTGAAGATCCAATCATCTCTCAGTTTGCTGTCCTGGAAGATGATTGGAGAAATATTAATAATACCGTGTTTCCCCGAAAATAAGACAGTGTCTTATTTATTTTTTTTCACGAAAAAAGACACTAGGTCTTATTTTCGGGGGATGTCTTACCTGGCTGCTGCTGTCCGCTCTGCCGTCCAGGGAGTCTCGGCCGGTCTTCACATGTAAAATCTAGTTACATGTGCAGCTACCCCGAAGGTAAGACCTAGCGCTATCTTCAGGGATGTCTGTAATATAAGACCTACCCCGAACTAGGTCTTATTTTCGGGGTAGGTCTTATATTACAGAAATCCCCGAAGATAGCACTAGGTCTTATTTTCGGGGTAGGTCTTACTTTCGGGGAAACGCGGTAATAATGTATTATTAATATCAGCAATATGAAATGTATGAGCTAATACAAACATTCCAACACACACCCCATTAAATTCAGTATGCTGCAATTTTAAAGGCAACTGTACCTTAAAGTGACATTAAACCTTCAGATTTTTTTACATAAAACAATACTGTAATGTGTACCTAATGTAATCCATGGTTGTTTCCCTTCTCTTTGCTGCTCTTCCTTTTAAATCTGTATCTCTTCTCATGCTGGCCAGAACTTCTGTTTTGCAGCAGACTGCCTTGTCTCTGAAATGGATACATGGTGTCTGTGTGAAGGTTCACAACCTGAGCCAGCACTACAGGAAGAGGCACTCAGCTGCAAAGGGAAGTTCTCCCCAAGCATGAAACGAGATACATATTTAAAAGGAAGAGCAGCAAAGAGAAGGGAAACAACCATGGATTACAGTAAGGCACACATTACAGTATTGGGTTATGTTAAAAAATCTGAGGGTTTAATGTCACTTTAAGTATTAACCCCCAACTTCCAATTCTATTGAATTACACTGTGCAGCCCTGCCCGGTGCCACACAGTCCTTGCCAGGAAATGTCCCAGTCTAATCATCTTGCTACTGCACACATGCAACATGGTCCTATTCATTCTATGCACACATGCACCACGGTAGCCTTCAGCTTTCCAGCATAGGATGACTCATTAGTGGGAATGAAGGGAGTCACGGCCATGTGTGTTCAGTAAAGAGGAACTGGCTGGACGTTTTCCTTGCAAAGGCTGCGGGGCATAAGGAAAGGCCATACAGTCAAGAACAAGGAGGGAGGTATGTTTTTCCACAAGGCTGGCTGCATTCACAGATATGGGACATTTAATTAAAGAATAACTGTAGTTGTCGTTTAAGTGACTTCCAGTAATATGTTAAAACTCCCACTAGAAAATAATTTTATCTATGTGGCCTTAGGATAATACTCAAGACAACTTCTCATAGGCCTTTCTCACAGTAACAGATGGTCAACATTTAAAAAGAGTAAAACATAAAGATTTGGCTGTATTTTTAAGTGTGTTTCTTTGCATGGAGCTTATGGACTTTCTTACTTCCCTTTTCATTCATATTCTATTAAACTGTTTCTCCTTGTAGGAAACCTCTCGTCCAGTGCCAGTACTAAGCTCTTCAGAATATGGCAGACACCTTCATCTCATTGTAGACAAAGTAAACAGGGACCATGTTAGAGTTGGTGTGGTACGGCTGGAATTCTTCCGCAAGAGTGGAATGAGTAAATCACTGGAGGAAGGCTACGGTTGTGTAACTCCATCATAAACCAGTTAAAAATATACTTGCCGTTTGCAGCAAAAAATCCTAATATATTTTCAATAAAGGTTAGCAATATCATGAGTGTGGATATTCATTTCAAGTGATTAACATATATTTGCAAAAGTTCACTAAACCCCCAGGTGAATCTGTGCAATCAGCACAATTCTAATTACATGCTACATTATCTTGCTGTTTACTTTTAAGTGACATTTTTGTTTTCATTTCATCACAAAATGAGTTTGTATCTGGTTGTTCTATCTGTAAGTGCTGATAGGCTTTAATGGAGGTAATTCAAATATATATATTTATTTTACTGTGCTGGATGAAAGATTTACTTTGTATGGCCAATTCATGGGAAACAGCATTTATCCATAAGTAATATATCCTTCTAGAGATATCTCTTTCCATGCATATCCCCAAAACATTTGTCTGAAGTTTCCTGGAAGCTAGCTAAAGTCACCGCTGTGCAGCATAATATGCCGAACAAAGCCTTACGTGTGATATACAGCATTGGTTAAATTATGTTTTTAAAATTCAGTAGATGAGGCAAAGTCTTGAAGACAAGATATAAGAAAGTGGAATTCATCACGTTTTAGTCTAGTAAGGCTTATTTGTGTTTATTTTGCTTAAACCTCTAAGAAATCCAGTGATAACCTGATAGTAACTATCTGTTGTGCTATAGGAAGCTGCTGGAAACATCATCAGTAACCTGTAACCAGTTCTAATTTTGTGATAGCAGTCAACTTGTTTTTTTTTTTTCTATAAGAAAAGGCAGAAGACATCTGTAGCTAATGGGAATGGTCAGAAAACAAGTGCTGCATGTATGGCAAACTCTGCCAGATACTAGAACAGGCACTTTCTAATAAACACGGCAGGAAACACTATGGGATACTTTTTTCCAGTTATAGAAATGGTGATACAAAATGATCACGCAATTGACAGCATGCTGCAAAGGCTAGAATAGATAATGTAGGTAAAAACATAATGCAACTACTGTCTTACTGAGCCCATTCAAGTACCGAAGGAAGCAAGCAACACTTTACAAAGCTGAGTGATGTAATCCCTGAAAAAGAGCAGCAATGTGATACCCTAGTCAGAATCCAATGCATGATTAAAGATTAAAAGGGAATGTCTATGAAGGTTTTTATTAATCCAGGTCATTGTATTTCTGCTTCGGATTAAGAATAACATGGAAGATGTGAAATCTATTTAAACCCCTCTGTTCTAATGACATAATCAAATCGCTATAGTGCCATTAAATCAAGTGCATGTGTTAATTGTTTGAGTTGCATGACTGAAGGTTTGAATTATTGTCAATTTGCCATTGTAGAGATGTTAAAATGGTATTATAGGTGGGGGGGAAGATGGTGTTATAGGCTCTTACCCCACATATACCCTAATATAATGTCCTTTTAAAAAAATGTCAAGTTTTGATTGATTTTTATTGTTTCTATTATAAATTTTTTGATGTTACTGTGGAACTCTTGTCACTGTATTTGTTTTTACACTCAGGTCTAATATGTTTGATCTCTGTGCTCCCACTATGGTTTTTTTTCATAGTAATATTATTATTATATCAATAGTTGGTGTTGGCACCAGCAAAAGTTAGCATAACAGGCTAGAAAGCATAAATCAAGCTAGTGCATTAGTGGAGTTTATGCAGTTACCACCAGAAGCAATTCATGTATGGAGGAATTTTTTCCCTTCCTTTGGATATGATGTATTCTTCCTGCTTTGCAAAGACATACAGAAAGACTAATTGTCTGGGAACATGTAAAATATACGTGGGATCCTGCAGGGGTAGGGCCTGATGTAAATTGTTACATGTTCTCTGTCATCCACTACATAATATGTGCATTCTGCTAAAATTAATAAATACATATAAATTTTAATTTGTTCTATTTCACGGTTATTATAGCAATGTCTCCCTTTTTTACAAGCAATAGAAGCAGATTTTATTGTATGCAGTGCTGGAAAGTCTATTATGAATAAAAAGGAAAATGTACATCTGTCACATTACCGGCACTGTTTGCCGCCTTAGGCCTGGTTCAAACCTGGGCGTTTTGTAGCGCGTTTGAACGCTCTGCAAAATGCTCAAACACAGAAATCCCATTATTTCCTATGGGTATGGTTCACACCTGGGCGTATTACAGGCCGTATGAACGCGCTACAAAACGCCCTACGCCCAAAGAAGTACAGGAGCTTCTTTGGGGCGTTTTTGTCGCGCGTTTCCATTGGGATACAGCCAAGTAGCCCTCGGAAACGCGCATCTGTCGCACGTTTTTTTTACTGCGAATCGCGGTATAAACGCGCGACAAACGCGCATATCCGATACGCCTAGGTGTGAACCCAGTCTAAATGTTCAATTTATCATCACATCACTCATCATGTGTTCACTGAGAATCTAATGGTGTTGGTAAGATTTGTGCAATTTGCTTCTCTGTTGGATATTAACTTTTTATATATACAGCTGAAACGCTGTGTGAGTTGGCACTATAGTTTGTAGAAGACGAGGCCCAAACTGGACCTACTGCAAGCAATAGTAGTCACTCAAACACCGAACCTATTGTGATTTAGTGGCTTTATAACAACTTCAGCCTCTCCAACTCTTGGGCACGCTAGTTCTTGTGACATGGTCATAAAAGCTTGTCCCCTACCTAAAGGAGCTATTGCCATTTAACCAGCACTCTAAACTAAGATCTTTGCTAGTAGTCATTGCACACTCACTGCTGCCACCCTCGAGCTTCGATGTGCCTCCCTCCATCATTCTTTTTTATCCATTACCAGCTTTGGGCAGTGAATGTAGTGCACAAGACATACAATAGTTGCAGTAGGCATGGCTGTCATCATAATCACAAGACGAGTCCTAGTGACACCTTTTCACTCAAAAGAAGCTATTCAAACAGGACAAGGTCATATATGCATAATCGTTAAAAATATATCCTCATGCTCTCGAAGGTGCTTGTAGTTAATCTAGAACTGCCCTCTCTGGCATGTTCATCACCCATTACTGTCACAGAAGTTGCAGCTGTCATACAAAGGACTGATATTTCATCCATGTGACATTGCTTCTAGGGCCAGATTGGTCACCCCCCACACCTTTGTTAATTTGACCTTTACATATGGTGGTCAAAGGGAACTTGCATTGTCCACCCAGTACTGCAACTACATGGAAACAAATGAAAATGTTTATTAGACAATTAGTTTTAAAAAACGCATGAAAAAGGAAGCACATAGATATGAAGCAAGTCTTAGACACATAGGGGATATAAAGGGAGGTGTAAAAGTTTATGTAATCCCTAACAATTAACTTCTCCGATTTAGTCCCTTTTGGTCTGTTAAATATACCATTGAACGCATATTGTTATGTCTGTCTAATAATTGCAAAAATACTTGGTCATCCTGCCAGAAATTTTGTTAACTGATAACTTTCTCTGCTCACTCCCTGTGCAATGTATCAGTTACATTGTTACACTCCCGGATACCCTCCCCTCTTTGTTATGTAGAGTGGAGGTGTTTGTAGTCCTCTCCTATGGTGACAGCGTTGGTTCTCTGTAGATGCAGTACGGTGAGTGAGCATTGTTACCCTAGGTCAATAAGTGTGTTACTGGCAGGATCACCAGATGAAAATAAAATAAAAGTAAGCCTGAATAAAGACTAGAAAGCTCCAGTATAGTAAATGTTAATTCTTGGGTTTAGATAAACTTTAAACAACATCTTTGTTCTGATGTAAGGTGTTAAATGATAATTTTTTCTCCCAGCAGAGCTACACCCTCTCCATTTAGGTGCAGTGCATCCAGGGCCGTCTTTAATATTAATTGGACCCTGTGCAAACATTTTCTTGGGCCCCCCCACCTGCCCCCTTCACCCGTGGGACATCACATGGTCACGCTATGCACTGTACAGTGCAAGGATTTTGGCCTACACAGGTGACAAAAAACACCTTTACTTGTTGCACTCCTTACCGAACGTCCCTTGTAATGGGGTGGGTGCTGGCAGTGACTGCGGATAGCGCCGCAAACATTAGCACCATAGGCATCTCTACAGGGGGGCAAGGGGGCAATTGCCCCCCTAGCTTATTCCTTGCCCACCCGTGTGCCACCCCGCTGATTCCCCTTTAAATCGACTGCTGCTGTACAGCTTCACTGTACGGCAGCGGTCTCTTGCTAGCTGACAAGTCGGGCACACGGCCCGACTTGCTGGAGCAGCCACACGGTCTGCAGACCGCAGAGCAGCTCCTGTCAGCTTCGGCCGGAGCTCTGTCAGTTCTGAGCTCCGGCCGAATGATGGATCACTAGTAAGGTCTAGTGCAGACCTTACTTAATGATCACCGCTAGATCATCAGGGAATGAAGATGAACCTTCTCGCTGCACGGATGAAAGCAGGTGAGGGGGCTTGGGGGGGAAGTTTCTGATGTCTGCTGGGCGGCTGGGGGAGGTGGCAGTTTATAATGTC